AGCAGCATACATGTATTAAATTGAAACTTATTACAAATAAACATGACTAAATAAAGAAATCTGGTTTTTGGTTCAGTGCCACAAAATTTGTTAGCAACTATGATCTGAGATATTTGAATTTCCTTTTTTTATATGGTATTAAAATATATAGATTCAAGAAAATGAGCATATAAGTTTGTCTAAATATTAAGTGATGTAACACAGTTTAGGGACTCATGAGTAACTCTTTTGACTAATCCTACTGCACGCAATATCACTGATTTCACGGCCTCTTCTGACATCAATCTATAGCCCTTGAATATTAATCAATCCTGACACGATTTATATCAAAAATTTCCGAAAAAGCGCATTGTGTATTGCCGGCCGGGCATTTTTAAAAATATCGCCTTATTTTTATTTTGAGAACATGGGACGATCACCATTAAATATGCATCGCGCTGTACCTGCAATGATTGGTGCAAAAGCTTGTTTCCTTCCTTCTGGCCTATGACCATATTTGGAAGAAAAGAATTATGGGTGACATTTCTGAGTAGGAAATCATTGATTAATTTTTTTGCTACAAGATCTAAGAGCATTTCCTTAGCAATCAGGTGTCAACATAGGGGTTCATTGAAAGTGAGAAGACAAGAAGAACAATTGCATCTTCAGAATTATATTATATTTAGGAATGAACTTTTAGTTTAGTTTGCTCCAGATTCTTATCCATTTACCTCCCTATTTCTTCTATTAATTTTCTGTTAAATAGTCATGAATATATTTTTGGAATAATACCTGAAACCACAATTGCTATTATCTACTTAATATCAGTACACAGTCATGAAGATAAGTTTGCCAACTCTTGTTTTTAAACTTATCAAAACAATTATTATGTGTTATACCACTGGCTTTTTAACAACAGACAATCACATATAATTAAAGGCTAATTAAACGTATCAGAGATTATAAATAATAAGAAATTTGACTATCTATGATGGTAATAGAAATCAGTGGCCTCAATTTTGAAGAAACCACTTTGGATGTGATTGGATTGGGTTGCTTTGGTGTGACAACGATAACTCGCTGAAATCCAAAATACTTATTGAGGGCAATCGATAGATTGAACCAAGGACCATGTAAAGATCTCCATGATTTTTGCTGATTTTGCTGAATGTTTGACTTTACAATTCTTATAAGAGGGAGTTGGGGCATGGTGCAATATGCGTAAGACTTCATGACATGCAGGAGACTTGACACTCCTGGGATATACATTACTTGACATTACTGTGTTTTAAACACAATTGTACCCAAATATGTTATTGTGGCTACTGCAGCATTGCAACCTTTTAAGAGTTGCTAGCCTCAATGTTTACATTTTGAAAGGAATAATGGATGATTGCTAACTCAAAATTAATCATGATGATAATAATTTTAACATGTTTATCAGCCTTGTGACATTCATATACCAATGTAACACATACTACACACATGCAATATATATGGAAGTCGGTATTTATTTTTATCATTTGATTCTGGAGTCTAATATAGCAATCACAGTTTGTTTCCCTTCCCTTTAAAGTAATGTCTGTGTCAGTTACCCTTCCATATTTATTTTTGAAAGATAATAAATATATTTTGTCTTGTATCTTTATTAGTTACATGTAGCTGCATTTCAAGATTTAAGAAACTTTATTGTGTATTATGAAATATAAACAGAAAATTGAATTACTTTATTAAGAGATAGAAAAGAAATTTACATAAATATGAAATGACATGTTCAATGTCAATAAAAATAGTCTTAAAAATAGACATCAAACACTAAAAGTAGAATGAAATGTGAAGAAACTTTAAAATAGTGCAAAATATAAAATAGAGCAACTTTCAAATTGCGCAAAGTTTTTTATTTATGATTTTAAACATTTCAAGAGCAGTAATATGTTTCTAACTGATGTTAATATGTTTCTAACTGATGTTGTCTAAAAGTGCAATTTAGGGGTGAACAATTCGATAGTTGCAGGGCGGAGACATGATTTGACATCAGGGGAGCTAGACTGAAAATAAGCTGACATTTTACACTATTGTACTTAGTATAAACTTTCTATATGTTGAGTTTTTTTTAGCATTAATGCGAGTCAATGACCAGGTATAGGGCCTTTGGAGCCACCATAATTCCACTGCCAAATGATGATAAACCTGGGCTTAGACGTATTAAGTATGTAGGTCAGAAAAATGAAAATGTTGCCATTACAATTTTTTAGTAAGAAAAGCGACTATTAAAGATTAGTACAGTACCTAATTCACACATACAACATTACGTTAAATGTAACAACTTTTAATATAATAGTTTTTTACAAGGATCACTGCCGCAGAAAGTAGTAAACATATAAGAAAAATCATGTTTAGTAAGAGCTGTGAAGAAATAAAAAAAAAGATGTAATACCAGTGGTTTGGATACATTGAGTATACTGTATGAATGATATGGCAAGGTAGGCCAAGGGTAAGGTGTGTGTGGATCTTAGTTGAGGGGACCTTAATGTGGCCAGGGACAAGTGACAATGGAAGAGTTCCATAATAATATGTACCTATCTAAAAAAAATACTTCCCTAGAAAAACAACTGTTTATCTGTGAATGAGGATGTATTTAAACTTCTGATACCTTAAAAAATGCATTGTCTCTATTGGGGTTCGAACTCAAGAGCATTAACCAACAGAGGAAAGTGTTTCTCTATACCTGTAAATATATCCATAACTCAAAATTATTAAGGTCCAAAAAAAAGAGCACTAAATATTTTTGCACAAAATTAAATTAATATTGTGAAGTATGACAGTTAATTAACACACCATACAGTCACCAAGTATGTATTGTAGGAAGCATAATTAAAAATGTTATTTTTTTTTGCCTAAATGTTTTGTTATGCAAAATTAATTGCTATATTGTGATGAATAGTACTTAATTAACATACCATACAGTCACCATTTTATTAGAGAGATTGTAGGAAACATTCAAAATGAAACTTAATTACATGATTAATGATGATTGAGGATGACAAATTACTTTCTTCCTAAATTCTTTTTTTTTTTTGACAAAATGAAAATATCTTTCCAGATATCAGTTTTTACAGAAGTGAAAGAATTACAATGCAAATGTAAAATATTCAAATTATATAAATTCGAAGAATAAATCAATCAATCAATCAATTAATCAATTCAATCAATATTTTTTTTAGCATTAATGCAAGTCCAGGTATAGGGCATTTGGAGCCACCATAATTCCACTGCCAAATGATGATAAACCTGGGCTTAGGCTTATTAAGTATGTAGGTCAGAAAAAATGAAAATGTTGCCATTAAAATTTTTAGTATGAAAAGCGACTGTTAAAGATTAATACCTAATGCACACATACAACATTCAATAAGTTAAACTTATAACAGTTTTTTTACAAGGATCATTGCCGCTAAAAGTACTTAATTAAAATACCATACAGTCACCGTTTTATTGGAGAAATTGTTGGGAACATTTAAAATGAAACTTAATTACATGTTTAATGAAGACTGAAGATGACAAATTACTTTCTTCCTATTTTTTTTTTTTTTTTTTTTTGACAAAATGAAAATTTTTTTTTTTCAGATATCAGATCAGTTTTTACAGAAGTGAAATTTTACTGGCCTTCCAAAAGATCCAGAATAATAATAATAAAATTCATTTACCAATTACAAATTATAAGAAACTATTGAGTTATGTTAATGTAAAATATTTATTAGAAAGAAGCCATTGTTTGTAGATATGTATATTATGTCTTGTTCAATTGCATTATGGCAGGGGGCGGAGTGGATGGGATCCTTCACCATCATATTCTTCCAAGTGTATATTTTGCTGTTTGCACCCCATAGCTATGAGGCCCTATATAGCATACTTACAAATTCAAATGAATTGTCTCTTTTGCTGACTCTCTCCTATTGAATCTTATTTAATCTGGTTGTATTTCCTTTATGTCCCCTGCATTTAATCTCAAAATTTACTCAGCAATTGTCGCACAAATTCATTACACCTCCCAACTGACCTAATGCAGAAAAAACCCAAGCTTTTTTTTGCTGGTGCATGCATATGATAAGCGTCTTTTGATAGAGCATGCAATGTTCCATCACTTGATGTGTTGCCAGAATCTGGTCATGTGACATTCTTCCCCACCTCCATGTTTGATAAACGGTGACATTTTACAGCAATTCATCTTTCGGCAGATCGGTCAAATGAAAAACTGATTACGCTTCATTTCCAGACATTCTGTTGTTGATCATTTAATTAAAGTTCATATATGTCCGTTTACCTATTGACTTCTCCTAGAAGTCTGAAAATACAATGCACATGTGTTATAAACCAAATACACAGGTTCTTCCATCTCAATCTGAAGTTACATTCAATTATAATTGTTCATTTGGTTGCCATGATTTAACTCTATAATCTCTACCATGAATCTGTATGGACACGTACTTGGCCTCGTAGATTTAGCCGGGCTCTCACAGACACGATGAGAAGCCAAGGGTCTGTCTCTTATACACATCTAGATGTGTATAAATTATTATTTTATATACTGTACATTGTAGTAGCGACAGTTTGGCGCAGCGGTTGAGGTTTGGGCTTTCAATCGTAAGGTCGGGGTTTCGAGTCTCCGCTTTGTAGATTCGCTTGTGTCCTTGGGCAAGGCACTTTAACTACATTGCTTCAGTCCACCCAGCTGTATCAATGGGTACCAGTAAAACTGCTGGGACTAACCTGCGACGGACTAGTGTCCCTTCCAGGGGAGTACAACTCTCATCTACTTCACACTACAGAAACTGGGGATAAGCTCCGGGTGTCTGGAAAAGTAAGATCTAGAAAAGTAAGACATAAGATATCTTTCTTTTCTAGATCTCTCGTTTTTGCTACTTTACAATATCAATTATCTCATGGAAGTCAGTGGTGTTGGGTACCATGTCCACTAAAATAAAATTTAATGCGTTAAAAAGCTCAAGTAACCACATCTCCTGAAAGTGACTTCTTCCAACTTGGGACCCTAGATGTAGGCCTGCTATAAAGCAGGTTAAACATAACAATGTCATATAGTTTAAATCAGCTAAGATGCATATAGAACACTCACAAGTATTGTTGTAGTCTTTGCCAAATCTCTTTCATTTTTCCAATCAAACTATTATTATTTATTGAGAAGGGCTGATGAATGTGACTGATAGATATCATTGAAGTTATTTTCTATAATTGGCAAAGAAATTTGATTGAAGGTTGAATCTCTGCCAAGAAACAGAGGATGTTTCCATCATAACATAATTCATATCGAAGGTACAGTTGCTGAGGCTCGCTATTTTAAAAGGGAAAATGGAATTAAACTACTTCAAACAAATACGAAAGCCAATAAAAAGTCGGTTAAGCATTGATTCGCCGGATCTTGGGTCACATTATTGTTCTAATTCTTTACTAATCAGGTTGGCCTTTTAATCCTCCTAGAAGAAATTGTTTTAGTATGAAATTGGTAAAAATCCTGATTATCCTCAGTAGGGTATACTTTACCAGAATTATCCCACTGGAAACAAATCTTGACACTTCTGTGGTTTATTCTTGGTGTTCTTACTATATAATAATCCAATCTAGTCCGATCCAATACACAATTTTTTTTTGTATTTTGATGGTGGCTTATAGGATGCAAGCAGTCAACATTTAGCTGTTAGTGTCAACCTCTTGAAATAAAGTTAAAAGAAAATAAATAAATACAGTATTTATGTACACGGACAGTGAAATGACATAATATATTATGTTTACTAATGTATTATCATAAATATTGGACCATTAAAGAGGACATCTATCAAGCATATAGAATAAATAACATAAAATCAGTACAATAAAACATAACTTAATAAATTATTTTTATTTTTTTGGCAGTTATTGACAAAAGGAAATCATTCATCTCTTCTGAATTAATACCAACACCGACCGCACCTACAAGATCACATACACCTATGGAATATACAAAAATGGAATTCCTTGAAGCTGATACAGCCGAAGTAAACTCACCGCGTGCTTGCTCTCCTCCAAAGGTTCCTGCACGACCCTCAATTCGTGGAAAGGCTGTTTTGACAAGACAAGATGCTGATTCATCGGGAGATGAAGTGCGTCCCATGAGGCCAACTCCTCCGAAACGAACTCGCAGGAGCCCGGGTGAATCTCCTGTACATGCTCTGATTAAGGTGCATGAAGAATTGATAAAAATTGAGGAAGAGAAGGTTAATGGCAATGGAAACTTCATGTGCATGGCGTGCGAGTGGGGTAAAGAAAGGTTGCCTCCTGGTCTTCATGAAGAGGACGAGGATTGGACACGTACTTGGCCTCGTAGATTTAGCCGGGCTCTCACAGACACGATGAGAAGCCAAGGGTCATGTGATACCTGCTCCCACCATACGTCACGGGAACCTTTAGCCCGAGAACAGATGACTGTAGATGCTTGTATACAGACTGATGGGTATGATGATGCCTCACTCCATCCAGAAGCAATTGCAATGGAACATTTTTCAAATGATGCTGTCTCAGCTACGGAATCCGAAATTGCTGCTGGGGAGATTCCTGGACATGTGACTTCGGGCATCGATCGTGAAAGTTATGATCCAGATAGCCAAGATGATTTCACAGCAGCCAGTCAAATAATAGATGATGAATTGGACCCAGACAATGTTGAAATGATTGGACACATTTCCACTGATTCAATACCTGAATCTTGCGAAATTAATGGCAGTAACGATTACCTCTGTCAAAATCCAAACGTTGAAGCAGACAATGCTGTCGATTCAGAATATGAATCAAACCAATATGCACCTATAACCTATCAGGATTTATTTGCTTCTGATGATGAAGAAACAAATGGTGAAGGGAAGTACGAGAGCATGGCATCATTCCACTCGGAGCAGTTGCCGAGTGAAAATGAATATTACTTACCTGACGAGATTCCTCCAAGGTTGAATGAAAGACTGGATTCTAAGTCCTCTGGAGTGTCGAATGCTGCTAGTCCTGATCTTAAGAATAAACCACCACCTCCACCATTGCATAAGATGCCATCATGGGTAAGGAAATTTTTATTTCAACACCTTATGTTACTTTTTTTAACTTGCATCTTTCAGATAAGATGATTGAGACGTTGCTCCAGATTTATAGAATTATAGAATTTTGAATATTGTTGTATCTTTGAAGGTCATTCAAACTATTTGTAAAATGTTATAAAGATCATTGAATATGTGAATATAAATGTTTGATATTTATAAAAACCATATTTTGGATGCTCATTTTAAGTCAGGGCATATCCTCTTCCTAAAATTTCCAGATAACAAATAAATTTTTAATAAGTAGGAACGATTGAAAATGTTTGCTGCCCTCTTGTGTTGAAGTGAAACTTAACTTTGAGCATGGAAATTTTGTGGTTTACAGTTAGTGCTAAAAATATACCATCATGACTGATCATATCTCGTTTTACATTGAAATCTGAATACTAATAATGGTTTGCTTTTTTGAAGATGTCCGCAATGACAATCTGTCTTAAAATGACTACAGTATATCCTGTGTTGGTACAGGATGTTACTTGTATTAAACTCCATACTGAATCCCATATTATTTTAATGCAAAATTATTGAACATGACTATTTGCATGCGTTAATCTGTTTCTGTTCATCACATTCATTTTAAAAAAACCTTTCAGCTGTTGTTAATGTCATTAAGACAATGGCTGGTATTAGATGTGGCATATAAAAACACATTTGGTGGCAGCGTTTTATCGTACCTTGAACCTATTCAGTTTTCTCATCCTTCAGTACATTGCACTCATTTTATGCCTCATCTTCCTTGATTTTGGAAATTCATTTGACCAAATAAGGAGTGATGATGACCAAAAAAGATGGAGTGAAGATGGCCAAATAATGAGTGAAAATGAATGAATTAAATGTAGCAAATAACTGACTAAAGATGACCAACTAAACATTATAGTTGGCCATTAACAAATAGAGATGACCAAATAAAGAAAAATATCTAAATAAAAATGAAATGACCAACTGTGGATTAAGGATGAACAGAGTGCAGTTGACCAAATTAGGAGTAACAATGACCAAATAAAGAGTAATAATCCAAATATAGAATTGATATGTCCAAATAAGGAGTTAAATCCTCCTTCATGTAGTTAAGCATGCTTCATTTTATATCATGAATGTTTTTCTCCTGAATTCATTTATACTTTTTTAAAGCATCCCTTCAGTATCTTGAATACCATGTACTAGGGACAGAAACTAATGTTTTTCCTGCATTGTTTTAATTACTTTTTTTATGAGACTTACCATACTTAAACAGCATCAGTGACCAAAACAAAAAAATTGACTTTTTAATATATTCATATCCTCCACGTTATAAGCTTTAAAATGATAGGCCATTTACTGGAATCGACTAACTAAATACTATGAAAGTTAAAATAAAGTTAAGAGTAAAAATATCTTTGTCTTCTCTGTACTGAAGTATACAATACTGCCACATTCTAATGTTAATAATCAGTTTAACACTTAACAGTACATTGGTGCTGGGATGACAAGCCTCCTCATTATGCTCTCAATATCCAGTTGAATCTAGGAACAGAAAATCAATTATTTTTTTTTGGCATTGCTTTTTAAATGACTTTTTCCATGTATGATCGTGCCAGTGATATGAGTGCTGTGCACCATGACTGTTTCAATGCACTCAATAGTACAGTTTAGGTCTAACTGTACTTTCAGAGTTATCCTTCTAAATTTGACAGATATTCATAAATTATCTAATTACTATGCAGTGTTTTATTTAAAGGCTCCACCAAATGTTGCCCTTGGTTGTTGGAAATTAAAGGTTAAATATACAAAAATTATGTCAACATTGTGCTCCACTGGATGTGTGTAACACTCAAATGAATACTAACTAAAATTTGAGGAACATTGTTAAATTTTATTGTTCCTTTTGTCATCCATCAATTTATTCTTAATCCATGAGTTGAAGGACACATCTTATCAAGACACCAATTTTGTTAAAAATATATATTTAGCAAGATAAACTTTGAAGTTTTATGAATGATCTGTATTCAACTAATTACATATTCTTGATATTAAATTAGAGAAATGCATTTTATTATTGAATTTTTATTAGATTTGTGGTTGAAATTTATTCTGCATTTGTATCCATCCACCTGTCCATCAGTAGTTGTTGTAGACAGGAGTTGGATCATGCCCAGCATGGATGTTGAAGAGTTAGGATGTTTCAATCATTGTATGTGATAATGAAAGAAACCTGAAAAGATGAAACAAGTTAATTAATTACTCATCATACGCTCTGCTAATTAAAAGCGGGTAAAAAATAAAAATTTCACAGTTGTCCAATTTTGTAAATTAAAATAATTAATAGAGTGCTATTATACAGGAAGTCAATGAGAATTTTGTGTATATTTTACGAAAATAGCTGTGCATGCAAACAAGAGCACAACCATGCCAATTTTTGCTAGGTCTACATCACTTGTCACTATGACAATATAAGTTGTGCATTTTGAACAGCATTTGTGGCAAAGACAAGCCTAACCAGTCACTCGTCGCAAATCGTGTTACAGAGAAAATGGCCAAAACATGCTGGAATGTCAAATTTTTAAAAATCTATTTTATTGCACTAAACTAACCTTTATATATCTATACATCATTCTATGCTGTTATTTTTCCCATTTTCAATGTTAAAACAACAATTTTTAAGGATTTAAAGATAGTTTCTGCATGAGAAATGCCTGAAATCATAAACTTTGAAAGCTGATTTCTCATATGTTGTTCTTTAAACAGCTGTGTGATTAAATGCTTGTAACTTCATAAGGAAATGTTTGATTTGAATGATTTTTTTACCATTTTTTAGCTATTATTTTACTCTCTAACACTGTATTAATAACTCAATCTATTTTTGCGACGAGTGGCTGGTTTGGCTTGTCTTTGCCACATTTTTTGTAGGCAAATTATTCATGAACTTCTATTTTTTAAGGATTTAATGTATTAGATTAAAAAGTAATTCTAGTACTATATTTGATTCTATATCTTTATTCCAATACCGTAATAGTTCAACATGTAAGTATTATTATACCTATCATGTAGGCCTTGGTATATTCAAGATTGAAAAAAAAAATCCATCTTATTTTCCCATCATTCCCTACCACCCAAAACTTTTTTAAAAACCCACAAAAATTAATCAAAAATTTTTAATACCTCATTTGATTTTTTTAAATAATAAAATATTTGTTTTTTTTTACAAAAAGTTAGTATGCAAAAAATGTACCAATTGTATTATTTAAAATTTTTGATACTGAGGATTTTTACTTGTTTTAATTTTTAGTTCAAAGCAAATATTCAAATATTATTATTATTATTATTATTAATTTATAAATTTATTTATTAATTTATTTATTTTTTTAAAGTTTAGTGACAATATTTCTTTAATTCATAACATTGTTAGTGATAATAGCTAATGTCTAAATGTAATTTAAAGATAGCAGTTTCTAAAGCAATGTTGTGTGTATTCATAATTTAACCTTATTAACCATAGGTTAATATTAAATTTATCTAAAACTATTTCAGCCCCAACTCCCTATGTTTTCATGTTATAATATTCTAACTGTCAGCTAAAATATATGTATTAGGCAGATGAGATTAAATTTAAGAATTATACCCCTCCAGTACCAGGAAAAACATTCAATCTGGACCCTATAAGACACCCCTTGGGTGGATTTGAATTCCCCAAAGAGGAATCATTCATTCAGCTTAATGTCAACCGCTGACAAATTCAGTCCTCGTTTTGCAATTTTTGGTTTATTTAGTGATAAGCAAAGTATCCCATTGGGGCTATTCAATTTTTTTTGTGGTGGTCTCGACACTGCAGTAGACATTAATATTTATGTACTTTCAACAAACCGCAGTTAGGGAATTATGAATATCGCTATGTCCAGATATAGTTGATTTGTCTGATGATGGTGCCATTTCGAACTACAGTAACGTATGGTAAAACTCAACTATATATGACAAGTAACAGTTTACATCTGATAATTGTGGTTCATAAAGCACATACGTAGTAAAAATTATGGAGTTTTGTCTACAAACGTCAATAAATACTGTTTGTTGAATGTCCCAAAAAATCTTCGAAAATGCAGTTTTATACATTTAATTGTTACCATTAAAAAGATGATACAGGTCTCTCTCCAATTAAAGACCACTATTGGGACCATGGTTTTTTTTCTGGTCCTTACCTTAGCATCTTTGGTCATTAATTAAAAAAATATTATAATAGAGATAAAAAATAAGCATTCACTTGGTACTGCAGAAAGGTGGTAGTGGAGGGGTTTTTAATTAGATGTATTGTGGACCTGTAAAAGTTATAGAGACAGATCAAACAAATATTTAAAGTGATTTACAGACTTAAATATACTCTTAACTTGTCTGCCAGTCAATTCTTAAGTAGTGGCCTATCAAACAATATAGGAACAATGTTGTCTCTTCTCGACAAAAAAGGAAATTTCAAGATAATAACATAATAAATATACAGGGATTTAAACTGCACTTTTTAATGTTGTCATTACTACCCCTGTTTGGATCAATATTCAAACCAGCACAAAGTGCTGTCTCCCCACTCTCCATGGAGGAATCCTAGCCATTTGCTTGCTCAGTGCTCAGTGAATCTTCAACACTCTCATCACTTTGCTTTTATTAAAGGATTTTTTTTTTACTGCAATTATTATTTTTCTTCATTTCTTCACTTGTATACTCTATCGCTATTATTCCTTACATCGATATCTCTGAAATTATTTAAGCTCTTGTAAACGAAAAAAACCCTGTGAATCTATGAGTACAGTAGGGGTACATTGTACCCCTACTGTTTAATGTCTAATTTTGTTTATTGTCATTTTTGCTGTGCATGGTATAAACATAGCCAGCTTACTTAAGGGAGACAATTGATGATACATTAGTAAAGTCAAGTGAAAAATAATGATTTTGCAAGAAATGTATTATCTGAGACCTTTGCATCCTCACAAGAGATTGCT